GGGGGGGGGGGGGGGGGGGGAACAAAGAATGGAAAAATACCACACTAGCCTTGTCTGGAAAGTCTAATGGTTTAAGAACTTCAGTTTTTATAACTTGGAGTAAAAACAGAATTCATAACTCCTTTTTTAAACTTAAATGGAAACATATTTTGTTTCCTGAGTTATGCAATACTGTTAAATTATAACAAAACTTTTGTGTTGGCTTTTTACAACCACATATGTGTAAATAATGAAAGTGATTTTAAAACAGAAGCCCCTTGGTATCTCCAAACTATCACTTCCCATTTTCAAGGTCTTTCAAAGTAGCAAAATCCATCCTTTTGTTATAAAATTGAGCATCTGTCCAATTATGCTGTATTTTAAGCAGCCTTTCCTTTACTTAAAAATATAAAGTCTGAGCACAAGTGTAGTTATCAGTGCTTTCAGTTGCTCAGAAAAAGGTTTGGTGAGCTGAAGAACATGAACTGATAAAAATACTATCTTTAGTCAAAATTGCTTAAAGCTTATATCTAGGAACTTTGACTTAGAACATGTTTAATGGAAACTCTCCAGAAACACCAAGATAGGCTTTTAATGCATGACAAGGCCTTTTCTGGTGAAACAAAGCTGCCTTTGTGAGGAGCAGAATACAGACAGCAAAGACCGTCTCTGCTTTTGGGAGCTCATTGGAATGTCTCTAACAAAGAAGAGTTGATCTGAATAATTTGCGCAGCATACATTGTGTTTGTGTATGAAAACATCTTGTAAGGTGGCTTCAGAAAGCTTAAGTCTCTTACTGTGTATTTGCCCGTATGTGTAATGCAGGAATTCAGAACTGGTAGGGCACAAAATCACACGAACTGGAGCTGAGTCAGTGAGAGGGGTTCCCTCGAGATGGGAGCTGACGGGGGTGCCAGGGGCCGCTTACCCAGAAATAGTGGCCTGTGCACTCTGAGAACACTGCGCAGTCAGTCTCACCAGTCAGAACTCTCGTGGTGCGCATGGGGTCAGCTTCCCAAGAGCCTGTCTTGGCAAAGAGGAGCTACAGGGAAATAAATTAGTGAGAAGTCTTGAAGAACAGTTTGGCCTGACAGGTCAGATCGCCAAATTTATAGGAGAAAGAAAAGCTTTAACATTTTGTTTCTTGCTCTGCTGTTAGGCCAGCAAAAGGCAGAAAGCTAATGAAACATCAGAAGATGAGCATTAGCAGAAAAAGACACAAATCAAAAAATACTTTGACATGTTCTGACTGTTTTTAAACTCCATGTCTTGATTTTGGTAGAGAAGCCAGTGTAGGTTTGTGAAGTAGGTTAACATCATTGTCTGAGTATATTAATTTAATTTTGAATGTGTGAATTTACGTTTAGGTAAGCTTTCTCGTAGCACTTTTTTGTAAATTAGGTTAGCGTTTCACCTTTTTTCCAACATACTTTAAATGATGCAGCTTCATCTTTTTCTGCAGGAATGTACAGTCCTAGTGTTCATTTAAGAAGTGTGTGTATTGACTCGGTTAACTAGGCATTAGAAACATTACTTTTGGAGAATGCAGAGTTCTGTTGCTCAGTTTCTTTGGAAGATTAAAAAAACCCCAAACAACCACAACAAACTCTAAAACCCCCAAACCTGTAATAAAAAAGTAAAAATAAAAATTTAAAGACTGTGAGTAGACCCTGGGTGATGCAGGTGAACTATAATGAAAGAGAATTATTTGTAAGTTATAGCTCACCAATTTGATTTCCAGGTAAGGCAGTGATAGAAGTCTTTAACGTCCTTTTTTCCTGTTAGGTCTAGATGGATGGTCTTAGTCTGTGTTCTGTATTTTATCGCTGTTCTTGCCATTAGCAGTTTCTGAAGAAAGCCAGCTTGAGGGCAGGCAGCGGCATGTGGTTACCCTGTGGGGTAAGTGACACTGAGCTGTGATCTGAGGGAGAATTTCTGTGCTCTTTCAAAGAAAGTTGTTCATCCTGGACCTTTTGAAGCAGATAAGTGGCTCTCCTTATCAGTCAGGCTGAGTGACTGAGTTGGATATGGTGGGCAGAGTAATGGGAACAGGAGGGAGAAGAATCCTCCCAGGGGAGGTGGAAGCAGGACATGGGGCACGCGTGGCTCTGTGCAGGGGCTGGTGCCTTGCCCTGACGCGCAGCGGGGCTGGCGAGC